CAGTGAGAGCTGATAATATAAACTTTATATAACTACTCTAGAAATACTGGTGGTGGTATCACAGTGAGAGGCTGAAAAGTATAACTTTTAATATAACTATTAAGAAATACTGGTGGTGGTTTCCCAGTGAGAGCAGATAATATAATTTATATAACTACTCTAGAAATTAATGGCTGAGTGGTTTCCCAGTGAGAGCTGAAAATATAACTTTATATAACACTTCTAGAAATCTGGCATGGTGGTTTCCCAGTGAGGATGATAATCTAACTGTATATAACTACTCTCGAAATATGGCTGGTGGTTTCACGGTGAGATCTGATAATATAACTTTCTTATAATACTCTAGGAAATATGGCTGGTGGTTTCACAGTGAGAAGTGATAATATAAACATATATAACTACTCTAGAAATTCTGGCTGGTGGTTTCACAGTTAGAGCTGATAATATACTTTTATATAATGCTTAGAGAAATACTGGCTGGTCGGTTTACCAGTGAGAGCTGATATATAACTTTATATAATACTCTAGAAATTACCTGGCTGGTGATTCCCAGTGAGAGCTGTAATTAAACTTCTATATAAACTACTCTAGAACTACAGGCTGGTGGTTTCCCAGTGAGAGTCGCTAATATAACTTTATATAACTACTCTCGAAATTGGCAGGTGGGTGGTTTCACAGTGAGAGCTGATAATATAACTTTATATAACTAATCTAGATATACTGCTGGTGGGTTCACAGTGAGGAGCTGATATATAACTTTATATAACTACTCTAGAAAATATGGCTGGTGGTTTCCCAGTGGAGAGCTGAATATTATAACTTTATATAACTACTCTAGAAATACTGGCTGTTGGTTTCCCAGTGAGAGCTCTGTTATACGAACCACCTACTCTTCCCATGAAACCCGCACTGGGTTATTACCGTTGTGGCTTGTACTGCGGGTATAGAAAATGGGGCTCACTTTGCAAATTTCACTGACATTAGAGATCGCCACTACGTACGGTTAGTTTTTGGCTCCTATAGTTTATTACTAATGTGTGTACAGTCATGAATGTCTCAGTCTAATATATGCCCTGGTGTTGAAGCAATAGTAGGAATAATATGAGCTAAACGGTTTTGTTTTCTTGAATTTAACATCATGGTACGTGTGGTATGAGTGGAGCCATGGCATCTTAAGACGGGGTTTAGAAGATATACTGTAATGAACCTATATAATAACCGACCAGTTTCATCATATTGTGCAGATTTGTGATGAATTTTTAAAAAGAAAAAAAAAAAATAAAAAAATTTAAAATTTCCCTTTTTTTTTTTTCCCTTGCCTTTTTTTTTAAAAATTTTAATAAAATTTTAAAAATTGCCAAATTTAAAAACCCCAAAAAAAAAAAAAATTCCCCATTGTTTTTTTTTATTTAAAGGGTTAAAAATTAAAAAAATTTTTTTTAAAAAAAAAATTTTTAAAAAAATTTTTCCAAAAAGGGCCAATTAAACAAACCAATTTTAACCCCCTTATTTTTTAATCAAAATTTTGAAATTTTTTTTTTAAAGTTTTTTTTTGTTTTCAAATTCTTTAAACCAAAAAAAAAAAACAATTTTAACCATTAAAAAAAAATAAAAATCAAACCCCAATAAGATTTAAAGGGGGGGGTAAAAAATTAAAATTTGGGAAAAAAAAAAAATTAGTAAAAAAATAAAAAAAAATCCCCCCGGAAAAAAGGAATAAAAAGGAAAAATTTCTTTTTTTTTTTTAAATGGTTTGAAAAAAACGAGGAAAAATTTTTTTTTAAAAAAAAAATAAGGGGAAAATTTTTTTTTTGGAAAAATTTTAATAAAAATGGCCCGGACCCGGGGGAATGTTTTTTTACCCCCGGGGGGTTAAAAAATTTTTTGTAAAAAATAAAAGGGGTTTTTGGAAAAAACCCCAAAAATTGGGAAAATAAAATATTTCCCCCCTTTTTAAAATCTTGAAGGGAAAAACCCCCCAAAAATTTTTTTACTACAATTGGGGGGGAAAAAAATTAAAATTTTTTTAAAATATTAAAAGAAAAAACCGTGGGGGGGGGGAAAAAAACCTTTGGGTTTTTTTCCCCCAAATAAATTTTTTAAAAAAAATTTTTAAATTTTTTAAAAAAAATTTTAAAAAAAAAAAAAAAATTTTTTTTTTAAAAAAAAAACCCCTTTAAAAGGAATCATACGTGCCACTTTCCCTTTTTACAGTCGATCTTTTGGGGCTCAAAAACCTCGTTTAAATTGAGACTTGAAGCCGTGAACTCCTGGTATTTAAAATTGGGCTTTTTAAATGATAAAAAAAATAAATTTTTAATTAAAATTTAACATTTAATTGTAATTAACCTTTCGATAAATTTTTAAAATTTACCCAATGAAGATGTACATCAAGACATTCAAAGCGAGGACCTTTTGATATGGGAAAATCAAGATTTATGGAAACTTCTATATTCAATTCAGGAAATTTTATGGGACAAAAAAACTAAGCAACTAGAAAATAATTGTTAAGTAAACGATTTTATAAGACTAGAAGCAACAGAAATTTAAATTAAAAAAAAACAATATGTGGGTAAAAAATTTTGTTTTCGCCGTTAAAAATTGGGAGAGGAGTTTTAGAAATTTAACAAAATTACCGGGGTTATGTTACAATAATAGACATAATTTGAAGGCCCATGTTTTTTTAATCCCTAAAGCTCTAAAAAATTCCGCTCCCACTCTACCGCTTTAACTCCATAATGATGATTTATTTTTAAGAAAAAAACCCGATTAGTTTTTTTTTACAGAAAGATGAAAAACTGGGCCAGACGCCTTTTTCTGCTCTATATAAAATACAGTTGGGGAAAAGTGATAAACCCCAAAAAAAAAAAAATTTTAAAATATTTCAGAATATAACTGGAAAAGTTCCCCCAGTTTCTCAAGTAAAATATCAATAGCTCCCCGTTAAAATACGTGATAGAAGTTCAACATGACCCACGAAATAACCTTTTTTCGACCAGGATTACTAGTACCCGGATAAAAAATAAAATGTTTTCACAAAAACCAAGACATAAAAAAAACAACTCTAACTACCCATAATCTTTCTTTTTTCGCGCAATATTGCTTTTAACCCAATTTAGGTCCCAAATTTGCAATTTTAAATAAAAGCAAGGCAAACCCCCGTTACCCTGACCCCATAATCAGAAAGTAACATTCCTTACTGTACGTTTTTTTAAGGGAAACAAAAGTTTCACACCCAACTTGAGGTGGGTTGGGGAGTATTTTTATGATCATGGTTGATGTTGTTGTGTAAAACTGTAAAAAACAGTGCAGACACAGTTCCCATTTTTTAATTAGAATTTTTTTGTAAGTTGTTTTTACTCGTAAAATTATGTTGTATTTTTTTGAAACCTACGTTTCAGTGTAGTGTGCCGCGAAATTTTTTCGTTTTTGTTTAAAAAAAAAAACAGAAATTTTTAAAATAAGAACAAAATTTTTTTTTTACATTTTTTTTGTAAAAAAAAAAAATTAAAAAAAATTAAGACATTTTGGGAAAATTTTTGGGGGGGGGGGGGGGAACCCAAAAATACCCAATTTTAATTTTTTTTTAAAAAAAAACTTTTTAAAAAAATTAAAAAAAAAAAAACCCCCTATTTGAAAAGGAAAAAATTTTTTTAAAAATTATTTCTTCCCCCAAAACTAAAAAACCCCTTTAAAAAAAAGCAAATTGGTTTTTTATTTTTAAAAACATGAAAAATAAAAACTTTTAGTACCCCAAAAGTAAAAAAAAAAGAATACAGAAAAGGATATCATTAAAATTTTTTAATTTAAAAAAGGTTCCTTCCTCTCCCCCCCCCTAATTATTATACTAAATCCCAACAGTAATACGTGGAACGAAAATTTCGTCCCCTGATATTAGGAAAGGAAATTTCCATTGCCCAAAACCCTTGGTAAAAAATTAAATTTTTTCTCTTTGGCAAAAAAATGTACAAGGGGCATGAAAAAAATCTTTTTCGTTTTTTTGACCACATAATTGTTAAAAAAAATAATAAAGCTGGAAAACAGCTGGCTGAACAACAGTGGGGTTTTTTGAAAATGGGAATTAAAAAAGTATGATTTTAGTTGGAGGAATAAATAAAACTGTTTGAAAACCCTATCAGGGTTGAGAAACCTTTTTTGAACAACCGCCTTGTTTTTGTCTGTTTTGTAAATGTCTGTTTGGGTGTCTGTTTTTGTGGTGTCTGTTTTGTTAGTCTGTTTGTATGTCCTGGTTTGTATGTATGTTTTTTATGTCCTGGGTTTTTTTTGTTAAAGTTTTTTTATGATTTTATTTTTTTTTTATGTCTTTTTTTTGTTTTTTTTATTTGGTTTTTGTTTGATTTTGTATGTCTGGTTTTGTGGTGGTAAATTTTTGTTAGTGTTGTGTTCTGGTTTGTTTTTGTTTGTTGGGGGTCGTCGGTTGAGGATTTATCGTAGTCCAAGGGGCTAGCTCCTTAAATCCAAGATCATGAGGTCGAAAAGGACGCAAAACAAAATTTTTCCCTGGGACTGTCCCAAACCCTACTTAATTATATTTAAAAAGATACTGATAGTGGGGCCCCTTTTTAATAAAATCTGATTTTTTATTATTTATTTTTCGTTGATAGTTTATAAAGGGTGTTTTTGACTTGAACACACCTTGAACCTTGGCCCCAAAATATTTGATATATGTAAACTTTTAATACTCTCTGATCCAAAAAACGTTGAATCGCCGACTAGTTTCCCCCATTCCGAAAAAAAAATTGCAAGTCTAAGTTTAAATTTTAGCCGCCTTGGTGGGTGTTATGCTGGTAGCTAAGTAGCTAACGCCAGTGGTAAAAATTTATCAAAGTCAAAAATATCATTACGAAATTGATGGCCCATTTTTGTGTGTCCCCACTAAAAAATTTAAAACCCCTGTGGGGGGTCTGTTCCAGGAACAGTTTTCAAGTACTACCAGAAGCAGAAGAGCGACAAATGGAAGACCAAGCTTGGCGACCACGATGAGCATTAACAGGACACTGGATGTTATCATGGACAAGAACACGGGATTGTGGTGGCAGTTACAGGCGCACAACACCCCCCCGCTCTTCTCAGGGTATGTGTTATTCATATGAGTCTAGACTCTAGAGCAGGGTGCACTAAAAACAGTAAAAAACAAGTATTTTAATATAAAACAGTAATTTTAAATAAACCAAGTATTTTAAAGTAAAAACAAGTAAATAAACAAGAATTTTAATAAACAATAAGTAAAATATTTTTAATAAAACAGAATAAAAAAAAAGGTTTTTAGAAAACGGATTTAATAAACAGATTTTAAAAAACTTTAAAAACCACCATATTTTTTAAAAAACCCGATTTAAAAAGTAAACTATAAAAACATTATTTAAAAAACCACACCCTTTTCGGGTCAATAGGCAGCAATAAGAGACTTCAATTTGTGGCCCCGTGTAACGACTTCCACCCTTCTGTCAATAAGTGGTAGCTAACGTGTTTAAATTTTAACGGTTAATCAAACATAAAATTTTTGATGTTCAAATTAGCATCATTTTTCCTGGAAAGTCTGGACTCTTTATTTTGTGGGGCTTCTTTGGTTGGTCACAGTAAATATCACGGGCCCAAAATACTGTGCGAATATATTTTTAATGCGCTGAAAACGGATCTTAGCACGTAAGTTATGACGACAGGATTAAACTTGGACTATTGGTGTAGTGGGGAGGTGTGGTAGATTTTGCTAACTAATGGGGAATTAAATTTACATCGCCTTCCGAACGGTAATTTAAAGACCGTGAAATGTGTCCTCTGGATAAAGTAAAAAGTACATTTTAATTTTAAGTAGGAATGCTAATTTTAAACTTGACACGTCAACTTTATTTCATTTTTTCCTAAGAAGCTCCATGTATCTCTTATGTTAATCAATAATCATGTAGTAGATGATGAAAGAATTATCATTATGGTCTGGGGCCCTGGGCAAGTTTTTGAGTAATAAATTTATGATCATGAAAATTAACCAGTAATCGACCAGGAATTCCCGGTAACCGGGAATCCCGGTACCGGGAATTGGAATTTTTGAGCCATCCCCGGTCCCGGTTTTTTCCCGGGTCAATTCCCCATTTTTTCATCCCAGTCCCCCCCCCGGATTTTTGGCAAAAATTTTAAAAAAACGGCCCCCCCCCTTTTGGGGGAAAAACCCGGGAAACGAAAAATTTACCCCTTTTTGTAATGGGGGTTTTAAAAGGTTTTAAATGGGGGGGGTTAAAATTTTTAAGGGTTTTCAAACAAAAAATTTTTGGTTAAAAAAAAAATTTTTTTTGGGAAAAAAAAAGGGCCCTTTTTTTTTTGTGGGCTTTTTTTTGGGGGACAGTAAATTTTTTTCCCCCCAAAAATCTGGGGGCAAATAATTTTAAATTTTGGTGAAAAAGGATTTTTACATTTTGTTTCCCCGGAAAAAATTTTTTTAAAATTAAATATTGGGGGATTTAGGGTTTTGGGAGAATTTCCCTTTTTGGGGGAATTTTTTACCGGGTTTTAATTTTTTAAAAAACCCCGGGGGGGGTTGGTTTTACCTCTTTAAAATAAAAAATTTTAATTTAAAAAAGGGTCCCTTTTTTTCGGTCCCAAAAAAAATTTTTTTTATTTTTTCCCCCGAAGCCCCAAAAAATTTATTTTTTTAAAACCCTTTTTGGGTGGTTTTTTAAGGCCCGGGGCCCCCGGCCGTTTTTTTAAAATAAAAATTTAATATTTGGGGAAAAAAAAACATTAAACAAAAAATTTTTTTTTTCCCGGGGGGAAAACCCCGGGGAAAAAAGGGGAAATTGGAAATTTTTTAAACCCCCCCCCGGAGGGTTTAAAAAACAATTTTTTCCCCCTTCCCCCCCCCCCCCTTTCCCCTTTTTTTTCCAAACCCGGCCCTAAAAAAAAATTTTCCCCCCTCCCCCGGTTTCCCCCCGGTTTTCCCCCCAAGTCCCCTTTTTGAAATCCCGGTCCCCGGGTCCCTTTTAAGGCCCTGAAAATCATGTTTCCGGGTTTCCCACTAATTGGTTTAGGATACTAATAATATTGGGAAATTCCGACATTGAAACCAATAAATCTTTTTGCAAAAAGCCAAAAAAATGCAAAACCTAAATCCAAATTTTTAACCGTTGTTTTCCCCAAACCCCCAAAAATTTAAATTTTGCAGGGCTTTTGCAACTATTCCAAATTTTTTACAATTCCAAATCCCGGGGAAAATTCCCAGGGGCCCCCAGGTAAAAATAAGTATTCTCCCCTTAATCTACAAAAGATTTCAACAAAGTACATAACTTTCAGGAAAAATGAAAATAAAATTCCGTTTAAATTTTTTTTAAATTACCTTCCCCATAAAAAAAATTAAACCTTTTACTATCCGAGGACCAATTTTTCCCCCCCCCCAAACCCCCTCCCAAAACTTTTTCCCCCCAAAAAATCAAGCCCAAAAAATAATCCAGTGGGGTTTAATATTGCAACTTATTATATTAACGTGTTTTAAAACCTTTAAACAAATTTTAAATTAATAAAAAATTAAAGGGGACCCATTTTTAAGGAAAAAAATTCCCAAAAAAAAAAAATTTTAAAAATAATTTAATGAAGGGAAAAAAATACTGCCCCACCCAAAGATTTATAAAAAAATCAAACCAAAGCTAATAAAATTTTTAAATGGATTCTTTCCAAAAACCCTTTTAAAAACCAAAAGGAAAATAAGATTTTTAAAAATCCCCGATTTTGAAAAAAACCCCATTTTCCCCAGTTTGTTTGGGAAAATTTAACCCAATTGAAAGCTTCCAAAAGCTATTAAAATTCCCCGCCAAATTTGATTGGTTTAATTAAATGCAAATTTAAATTAGATCCTGTGGAAGTTTTTTCCCACGACTCAAAAACGGAATTTAAAAACCCTTCCCTTCCAAAAGACTTTACGGGGGGTTTTTAAATTCTTCTAATGGGGAACAAAAAAATTTTTGGCATTTTAAAATAATTTTGGGCCCTTTTGCACAAGGAAAATTGCCTTTTGAACTTCACTTAGCCCTCAAATACGACATAGATAAAATATTCCATATAAGAAAACAAGGATTTAAAATTTTTTTAAGTGAGAGGCTTTTATATCATTCTCAGAAAGACAGACTAAAGAACCGTTTTTTTGGCATGTAACCATTTATCCAAATTCCCTGGGCAAATTGGGCCAACACCCGAAAAATGGTTTATTTGACACATGAGCCTCCTCGATAGCTTCCAAGTGGTCCCCCCCCCCCCTAGCCAGTCTGGTAAAAAAAAGATTTCCAATGTCAAACGAGAAATTGGAAGTCCCCCTGCGATATCAAGAATTTATTCCCCTCCCCCCCACGAAATGTGACAATAATTGTCAATGAAAGTTTGAACCACCCGGTATCGCCGGATATCTTTTGCTACCCAACATTATATAGTTCCCAAGGGTTATGAGTTTTAACCGAATGCCTGAACCCAATTAAAGAATTGAAATTTCCCACCCTCCCCACAAAAAGGGAACGGTTAACCTCCCAATGAAACCTGTAGGGCTTTCCCAGATTCCAGAAACTCAGAAGATTCCGGTGGGGGATTGGTTTTCCTTTTCCCCTCGAGTTTTTCTTTTTTGAGGGTTTTACAAAGCTTCCTTTGAAAACGTTCCCCCGGGTTTTTCCCATTTGAGTTTTTTCCGTTTTTCTTTTGTACAAGTAAATTTTTTGTCCCCCCCTATGTAAAAATTTCTAACAATTGCACGTGCACTAATATTAATAATCCATGATTCTTTTTCCAAAATTTTAAGAGTTTGTTTTTAAAAAGTGCCGTTTTTTATTTTTTTACAGTTCCATCCTGAAAAGTCAAAATCCCCCCCCTAAATTTGAGGGAAAAAGAGGGAGATAGGGGATTTACCAATTTAGTTAAACCCAAAATTGAGAAAACAGGAAAACACCCTCAACAAATTCCCCCTGGGAAATTCTCATGGGGAAGTAAAGATCATTGCAAACAGTAACAAAAAAACAGTAAAAACAGCTAAAGGAAAAAAATTATATAGGGAACTAGCCAGGAAACCCGTTCCCCTAAAACCCTAAAGATGGTGGGCCCCCCAAGACGGTCTCCCGAGGAGACCCTAAAAATAAATTAAGTTAACCTATTTTTACATTCGCGGGATTTATTTGGACACCAGACTTTGAGAGTCCCCCCCCCCAAATTTTTGGGCACTAAATAAATTAATTATTCCTTGGGGGGACCAAATTTTTTATTTATTTTTTCCAAATGCCTGATTTTTGGAAGGGCCATTTTAAAAGCAATTTGACCAACCCCAGTCCCCCCCCCAAAAAAAGTTTCCCCCAGTGTATATGTTTTTTTTACGGTTTTTTTGCGGAAAAGTCGCGGGGTTTAAAGTTTGTGGCCGTTGGTGGTGTTGTTCCCCCCCCCAAAGTTAACAAATTGGCAACGGATATATACACATTAGTATCTTTATTAAATAGTCGTCTCGCTTTTATATATAGGAAAGAACAAAATAGGTTACAATGTCTAAGGAACTTACGAATGAGTTGTCATAAGCGGAAAATAAATGAAATAAAAGAATTGGTAACCATTACATTTCCCCCAGTATAACAATGGTGGTTGAAAGTTAATAAAAAAAAAAATTAAAAGAACTGAATATTTGGTAATGTTCCAAGAAGCATAATCGGGTTACTATTTGATTGCCTTTTCCCAAATACAAATAAGTTTAAAACCCAAAATTCTTTTTATGTTCTCCCCCAAATGGTAAGCCCTGGTTTTGGACCAGGATAATGCCCGCTTTAAAATGCGTTTCTATCCGGCGTTACATTTACATAAATTCCTGAAGAAACTTTATACAAATAAAAAATTTATATACAATAAATTAATGGCCAATAACAAAAACAACCATTTACAATCAACAAAAATAATAAATTTTAATTCCGCAGGAATCTCCAAAATACAAAAAAACAAATTCGTAAATTTTAAACACAGTTAAAAAAAAATAACAATTTTTTAACAAAAAACAAACAAATTAAAACAAGGCCCAAATAAAATGAATAATAACGGAAATTTTTTCGCATCCAACCCCCTGAACAACATTTCACTCCCCCCTTCAAAAAATTAAATTGTTTTTTTAAACAATAATTTTTTTAGAACTGTAAAATTATAAAATGGTTAAAAAAAACCTATTTTGTTTTAATAAAGTCCCCCACCAATTTTAAATAATAAAAAATTCCAATAAACAAAATAAAATCCCCACAAATTCACAAATCCTTAACACTGGCTACTGCAATTAATTAATAGATTATAATGTAACTATTTATAACCTTGAAAAAACGATTTATAATATGTCCCGATACCAAAATTAACCAAAAAATATTAAGGTTGATTGAAAACCCTTTTCAATAAAATACAACATAAATTAATATATTTTTATTTATTAAACCTTTGACGGAAACGGCAACTGGGACCATTGAAAAAAATTAAAAATATGGTAACCAAAAAAACCCGACCCCTTCTTCCGGACTAATTTTACAGGCTCCACGCAAATGGAGTTGAAACCTCACGATTTTTTAGCAGGGGTTTTTTTTTAGAAAAAAAGACAGAATATAAGAGATAGTCTAATTTGCTAGAATTTACGATTAAATGAGGCTTTAGATTGTTTTTTATATGTGAAAAACGTTCGGAAGTGAGGGTACAATAAACGTGTTAAGAAACAATGGGCGGTTTAATTTTAGCAAAAAGGTTTTTACTGCCCGTCGTTTTGCTTTAAGAGCAAGATAAAAAAAAAAAATTGGTACGTGGGGCGGGCGAGCCCACCCGCCCAATGATTAACAACGCACGCGTTTTTGCCCCCACCAGCCCCCAATGCCTTTTTAAAATGGAAAATAACGTTCCCCCCCATGGCACTAAACTCCACAGTTTTATACTCCAAGATTAATTAAACTATTCAAATAACGTTAGGGTTTGTGATTGAAATAATTTTTTGATGCGGGTTAAAAAAGTATCCGTGTTAGGAAAAAAATCCCCCTAAAATTCTTACAAAAAAATACTTACAAGACTTTTGTCCCCCGTTTAATTTTGGTCCCTCAAAATAAAAAAATCCCGTTTCACCTTTTTCCCCTACAATACAGAGCTTTAGTAGCTTAAATGCCCCTTAAATGGTGAAGAAGAGATTTCGATTAAATTCTAAACATAAATTGATTTTTTTTTAAATTCCCTCGAACAAAGGCTTTTCGACACTAGCGGGTTTTTTTCTTAAGTCCAGGGTTAAACCGTAAAAACGGATTTTAAACGGAAATTAAAAAACGAAATTAAAGTCGCATTAAACCGAATTTTTTTCAAAAAGTCCCCCCCAAAAATTCCTTGGTGTATTGGTCCACCCTGGACACCCATTTAAAAATTATAAAGAAAGTAAATTTTACCAAAAGGTAAAAAGTATTTATATACAAGAGAATGAAGGGGGAAAATAAACAAATTATAATAAACAAAAAGAAAAATAATCCCCCCGCCTAAAAATCTCGAAAATGAAGATTTTTATTTTTAAAACAATTACAGGTATAAAATTAACAGGGGGGGGGCCGGGGGGGGCCAAAACGTCCCAATTTAAACCGAAATATCAACCGATTAAGAAATAAACTCCGTACATAATTAGTAAATTACTATGTTTTGACAGCAGTTTTTTTTTAACTGATGGTGTTTTTTACGGAACGAGCATTTAATTGATCACAGTTTTGGGATTGATTAAAGGAATTAAACTTTGAATTCGAGTCCGGGTTGTCCGATCTTTTCCTAAACCAACTGACCAACAACCTGGAAAATGAAGGTAAATGCTCAAAAAGCCCCAAAAGAAAAAAAGAAGGGCCACGAATGATAATAATTAATTTTATAGAAAGATCTAAGTTCTCGAAAACTGGAGCATGTCCCCAACCGTTCGGAAACCTTTTCCCCCCCCTGAGCCATGGTGGACAAGTTTAACAAACTGAAAACCATTTTTATAATTTATTTTCCCCCTAGAGATGGGAAAACCATATATCCCCCCCTTGACACCGAGAAAAATTGAAAATTCCAACTCAAACGAAAATTTTGAATACTGGGGCAAATTCCCATGATATCCGGAGTTAACCAAAATTAACCCAAATGAGAGCCTACGATGTTTTTAAATCAGGCGTTTTGGAGTTCAGAGCATCTTCAAATTCCTCGAAACCCCTTTATATTTATTAAAAAGCCACTCCCGTTATTATGTTAAAAACACTTCAAAAAAATTTTGTTCCGTGGCTGAGGAAGTAAAACAAACCAAATCTGACAAAAACTACAATAACACAATTTAAATAAAATCCCAAACCCGAGACTAAAGCTTTTTGAAGGTGAGATGGATAAGAGAAATAACCACAATTAAACCATGGATTAAAGTTAGGTTAAAAGTGAGGCGGTGGTGGTAGGGGATATGCAGAACTGAGTAAGTGAGAAAGGGGTGTAAAAAATATTAGTACAGTATACAACAGTAAGGTACAGCATTCCCCCAGTGGAAACCCAGAATGTGGCCGCTGAGCCCCCCTCGCCCAAAATACACTAATAAAATAGTTGCCCCCGCGACCTTATCCTAGCCACGTCCCTTGTCCCCGTGGGGGCCTTTTCTTTCTCACTACTAAAGTTTAAGTAGATACCCTTCTGATCAACAATGTGGTTTTTTTAACCCTTGTGCTTTTTTATTATTAATGCTTCAGGGACGGGTGTTTTGTAAAACTTCTTACCGGATTTAAATTAATCTAAGGGAAACAGTTTTGGTTTGTAGGTACCAAAGCTAACATTAAACAGGCACTATGGGGTTTCCAAAGAATATTCCCCCAAACTGAAATCATATAAATCACATGGAACAAATGTTTTCTAATTGGGGTGGATCCCCTCATTTACTAGAGTAGGCAATAACCTTTACCACTGGGGAAATATTTATGGAACTGGGGATATAAAGTGGTTTGGTGGGGTTTTTTTTTTGGAAACTTTTCCCGCCCATAAATTTTTTTATTCCCTTTCCCGGTCCCATTAATTTTTTACCCCAGTCCAATAAATTAACTCCCCCGCATAATAAATATCCCGGCGTAAGTGTAGGCGGGTCATCCGTCATATCCAGTAAAATCCCCTTAATAATAATAAATAATCAAAAACAAATTCCCTAATTCCCCAAAACATTAGTTTTGTCAAATTTTTGTACAGTCCCCAATTTCTAGAAACATTCTACCAGATGAAACCCCGTCGGCTCATGATTAGTATTTAGTTGTTTACCTTATCTTTCCGTACATAAAGGAGTCTTTGTCAATATTATGGATATTTCCAGTGTTTCTATTAACAAGTATCTCTCGTGAACTAATTAAAGATTGGATCTAAGTATATTTTATAGAAGGTTCGGCTGGCAAGTTTACTATAAAAATATCAAATGATGACTAAGGCCAAGGATCATTCATTTTCATAAATATTAGAACTGGAGTTTCACAGTATGACCCCGAAAAAGTAATCGGTTGGCAGAACACATTGAAAAATCCAAAGGTAGCTAGCTCCTGGGGGCTGACTGTATTTTAGCAATGTTTTGTGACCTAAATACAAGACAGGCCACTCGAAATCTAATGAAAGCTATACTACTGAGGGCTTTTAAACTTTAAAATTTTATATATGGAATATGGCAACTTTGATTTAAAGAGTAGCATTCTACCACTAACAGGAACCTTTTATATAATAAAAAAGAAAGTTGCTCGCCGAAACCACAGCAAATGGAGCCTTTAATTCGTTAATCGTATTGAATCGCAATTATACTATTTTTGTGAGCGACTATCAAGATCGAGAAGAATCCAGAAAGATTTTTTCTCCTATAAAATCTTATAGTAAGTTCGATAACTCATGTAGTGAGTACTGAAATTTTAATTCTGATGGTCCAAATGTGGAAAACTAGATCATCTCAAAATCTATTCATCTCAAATCTATTCAGAAAAAATCACTTGATAATAATAAATTGAAATTGAATAACACCGCTTTTAAGATAAAAGTTATACTCAGTTAAACTAGTCATCCCAGAAAATAGCATGAATACTAAGTTAAGAATAGTAACTTATGCTTGAAAATATATCGGCAATACTAAAGCCAGAAAATGGTACTTAAACATATTATTATGCAAAGATCAAACACTAGATATGACCAAAATAGTTATCGATATAGTTTTTCAAGTTCTATTATATCGTAATAATGTAGGAATCATTGAAAGATTTATCGATATATTACACAGTCATTAGATACAGTGAATACACCACCAACAAGGTGCGATGAATTGGTCCGTCGTTAACAGGATAATTCTGTATTAATCTAGAGATCTTTGACAAATTTGTATCATCAAGCCTAAGTGCAAGTGGTCGATGGTATAACTTACTGAATACTTGAATACGCTAGTAAAGCGAACCCAGGTTCGTACTTTTCTCTTTAGGCACACCACCGTCTCAACACGAAGGGACAGAACTTTGGCCCAATGACTTGAAAAAACTATTCAAGCGAGACATGAAATTTTATGAAAATTAAATTCAGAATTTATGGAATAATTTTTATCAAAAATTAGAAGTTAAATTAAAATGTTTTATCGAACTTCTAAAACATTCAATAATTGACAATGTTTTCTCTGGGTAAGGTAGTTCGTTCCATATCATTTAATCCACTAAACATAAACACTGCACTGCATGATCTATGTATCTGCGGAATATTACGCTAAGTGCAACAACATAGATTTATTACAGGCATCTGGATGAGGTTACGAAAAGAAGCACAGACATTTCACCTAATGTACTCGATAAGATTCGCTCCGAACTAAAACTTAAAACCCTAACCTCTCTGAACTTATACTACGATTTCCTGCCCTATAAGACAGCTGAGTTGACATGGGATGCTAAACATCGCTATAACGAGGTAACTGTTATTCACGTGTCATCCTATCTGATGCACGTGGTGGTGAACTATCAAATGTCTATTTGATAGAGCTAATAATGATAACTCTATATGACAGTTTTATCTCCTTTTGACCCACGAGAGGATTACATTGTACCATGAAGATACTGTGTCAATCTCTACAATATAAGAGTGCCGGAAATATCGGGATGGGGCCGGAGTCTGGGGAGGGAATCTATCATATTTTAAAACAAATCATTAAGACATGGCAGCATAGTGGCTATATAGTTTGAAACGTGTCCGACGAGCTTGACAGCCTGCAGTTCGCGATGGCTCATGTGATATTAATGTCAAGATTAGACTCAAATGATTGTCATGTGACAGAAGTTACGAAAATTGTATTGCTTTTACCCGGCTATATTGTGTGGGCACGCTGTATTTAAGGAGCAATTTCGTGAACGTAATGACATTTAAAACTTTAAAAATACTGGTTAAAAATATTTCTCTTTTGGGATCTCAGGTGGACATTCCAATTTTCAAGAGATTACAGAATAATAACGTGTATAACATAAGTATAACCTCCACAGGAAGGTGTGTATTGCTATTGTATGGGGCCAGGAGTTTGGTACAAACAGATGCTACAGTGTCTGAACTGCAGACAGTGGTTTCACCAGGTTAGTGTCACGCGAACAGAACAAATATCACGCAGAAAGAATAAGTATCACGCACAAGCCACAAGTTCAAACTTGTAAAGTTACAATGGAGTGATTTGGGGTTGGTGATTATATTGGAAATTTCGCCCTCTTTTTACTGATATTATGATTGAGACTTTAACGGGCATTAAATTTGTTATCTGTACATGTTATCGTGTTGGTACACTGGGCTTTGCAAATCATGAAAAAATTCTTGGATCTCTGAAAACTCTTCTTCGGAGAAGAGGGCTAAGCAAAGTATTTATCCTGGGAGATTTCAACCTGACTGGAGTCTCCTGGTCTACCTTGGCCGGCTCCTGTCCTATTGAGCAGATTTTTGTTGAATCTTTTGTAGACCTTGGCCTTCGGCAATGTGTACTTACACCCACACATTGCAAAGGCAAAACACTGGACCTTTTGCTCACAAACTCTGAGTCTAATATCAGTGACCTAATGGTAGGTGAGCGAGATAGCGTCTGTAAGTCTGATCATTTTCCAATCAACTTTAAGATCAACATTAAGGTAAATAGGAAGAAGCCGGTTAAGCGTATGTGCTATAACTATAAAAACGTGAACTGGGAGAGGCTAAACCATGAACTCCGGCACACAGACTGGAATGTATTGCTTAATGGCACAGAACCTGAAATTGGGTGGAAAAAATTTAAAGAAAAACTTTTTAATATCACTGACAAATTCATCAAGAAATGCTCAGTTAAGACAGATGGACAAGATCCATGGTTTGACTCAGAGTGCCATGATGCATGGCGCAAGAAAATAAGACTGCATTAAGATAGACATAAAAGCGATAGAGCCCAAATAGCATTCTCCCTTGCCAGGAAAAACTTCAAAAATGTGGTTGCTCAAAAAATGCGAGAAACATTAAATGAATCAGATGATAGCGCTCTTGTAACAAAAAATTCTGGTCATATGTAAAATCAAAAACAGCTAGTCAAAGAATTCCTGAGTTTGTAAGCTACAAAGGCATTGTCCGCAACTGCCCAGAGGACCAGGCCAACTTATTTAATGGCTTTTTCTTTTAGCAGTTCTCTGAAGCATCATTATACGACATAGATATTGATTATTCAAACGATTGGCGCTTTGATATTGCATTTGACCACCAAAGGGTTCGAAAAATCCTTTCCAATATTAACCCTAACAAAGCTTATGGGCCTGACGGTATTCATGGGAAACTTTTGAAAAACTGTGCTGTTGGGCTTGCATACCCATTATCACTATTATTTCATTCATGTTACAACATTGGGACATTACCTAGGGAGTGGAAACTGGGACACGTTGTACCCATATATAAAAAAGGTGATAAACACGAGGTTTCAAATTATAGGCCAATATCCCTTACATGCTTAATCACCAAAGTTCTTGAACGCATAATTAAAGATGAGTTACTTGCACTTACTAACGGCATGATCAACGATAAACAACACGGTTTTCGAGCTGAAAGATCATGTGCAACTAATCTTGTAGGTCTATGTGACAGCCTAGCTCTCTCACTGAATGAAAATATGAGAACAGATGTAGTCTACTTTGATTTTGCCAAAGCTTTCGACTCAGTTAACCATGATCTTATATTATTTAAGCTAAAGAGCAAATTTGGTATTGATGGGAGGCTACTGAAATTCATCACTGATTATCTAAGAGACAGGCAACAACAGGTCTTGATAAGTGGTAAGTTTTCTTCCATGAGAAACGCCCAATCTGGTGTACCACAAGGGTCAATTTTGGGACCTTTGTTGTTCATTATGTTCATTGATGATATATTAGTGGGGATTTCACCTGGCACACAACTGTCACTGTATGCCGATGATACTAAAATTTGGCGTGAGATTGTTTCGGAGTCTGATATCCTGCGACTGCAGAAGGACATTGATTATCTCCATGACTGGTCACTTTCTAATAAAATGAGATTTCATCCCGACAAATGTAAGGTCCTCACCGTCGCAGGAAGGATATCCGAAACAGTTTCCCTCCTTAGTGTCCTACCACTCTTTAACTTTGTATACTCCATGGGAAGAATCGCACTTGACTATGTCGATCATGAAAAGGATTTGGGTGTTTTTGTGACCAAGAATCTCGACTGGCAAGACCAGTGCTCTAAAGTCCTCTCAAAGGCCAACCAAAAATTAGGCATGGCAAGGAGAAATTGCTATTTTGTTCAAGATGTAAATCGTCGTAGAGTACTGTATCTCACTTTAATGAGAAGTCAATTTGAGCATTGCTCAGTTATATGGAGACCGGTCACAAAATTCCAGATAAGCAAGCTGGAGGGCCTCCAAAAGCGTGCTATTAAGTGGATTCTTCGCGAGGAGTATATGAGTTATCCACCATCCACATACATTCAGAAATGCAGACAGCTTAAGATTATGCCCATAGAAGACCGCTTCGACTTTCTTGACCTTATTTTCTTCTTTAAAATTGTGAAGCAACATATTCCTGTCACTTTACCCTCATATTTGCAACCATATCAAGGCCACTCAAGGTTAAGAAATAGCCACATGGACCCCTTATGTTTTGTAAGCTCGATCTTACCACGAGCAAGCTCTAACGCTTTTGCTAAGAACTTTTACTTTAGGACCCATTCCAAATGGAATCATATTCCTCTAGATATACGTGAGATAGAGACTATTTCTGAGTTCAAAAGCAAATTGACCTCCTACATGTGGGATTACTTACTTAATTATGCCGGAGGACTTTGATTATGATCTAGATTTTTCCCTCGAGACAGAGATGTGAAGCAGTTTACCTAAAGCTAACAATATGTTCATAAGGAGCTTAAATCCCTGTTGTCTGTATTTCTCATTTCTCATTTTAGTGCATGTCATCACATCATGGATTTCACTTTATTAGGCCCCTTCCAGCCATTGCCACTGCGAATTTAACCTAAAACCTGCCCAGTTAATAGCGAAGACTGCGAAATTACCACTCCTGCCTAGTAATCTAATTTACCCTGTCCAGATCAGCAGTATATTACACTAAATCCGCAGGTTTTCTCTTAATTTTTTATGTCAAAACCTGCCTAATTAACTAGTGATCCTGCATCAACAGCGCAGGTATTTGTTATTTGGCAGGTTTTCTATTAACTTGGCAGGATTTGCTATAAAATTATCAATCCTTTTCGGATGGATTACGGCAGTGATAAAGTTAAATCGGCAGGTTTTCCATTAACTTGGCAGGATTTTTTATAAAATTATCAATCCTTGCCGGATAGATTACGGCAGTGATAAAGTTAAATCGGCAGGTTTTCCATTAACTTTGCAGGATTTGTTATAAAATTATCAATCCATGCCAAATAGATTATAATGCTATAATCTTATTATGGCAGCGTTAAATTTATAAATTGGCAGGTTTCTTTTATCTTTCTTTTAAGTTCTTAAGTTATTTGGAATTTTGCTTATTTGGCACCAAAACTAAAAGTCAATAAAACCGAGTTGATTAGCGCAGTCAAGAAATTGGCCGGAGTTGATAAAAAGCTGACAACCATGGCACTGAATCTCCAAATGAGAGGTATAGTACGCTATATTAATAATTAATATACTTATATAGTACGGTACCGCAACAATTGACCCCCTCCCCCCCCCCCCCCTCCGACAAATGACCCCCTGATGCAATCTACCCCCGACAATTGACCCCCCATGTAATTACACTGGGGTCAATTCAGGGTTAGGGTAAGGGTTAGGGTCAGGGTTAGGGTCAGGGTTAGGGTCAGGGTTAGGGTCAGGGTTAGGGTCAGGGTTAGGGTCAGGGTTAGGGTCAGGGTTAGGGTCAGGGTTAGGGTCAGGGTTAGGGTCAGGGTTAGGGTCAGGGTCAGGGTCAGGGTTAGGGTTAGGATCAGGGTCAGGGTCAGGGTCAGGGTCAGGGTCAGGGTCAGGGTTAGGGTTACTGGGTAACACGACTCCTGTCAGCGACATCTGTCCGACAGCGACATCTGTCCGACTCAGGGTACCAGAAAAAACGACATTTGTCCGAAATTGTGATCTGATTTCAATACAACACATTTCCAATTAGAGACGTGATCTGAACTGTTAATTTGAATACGTAACATTGCCAATTTGAGATATGATCTGAGCCATAGTGTACTACTAGTTTATTTTCGACCTAGGCAGGCAGGCATGAAGCAACTGCGTTGTGAATGGCGAGCTCGTAGTCCATGAGAATGTATTGTGGTTGGTAGCCCCAAGGCCTCAGAAGCCCAGGTGTCTATCTGATCGAACATGTTGCGGTAGAGTTTCGTCGATTTTCCAGGAATGAGTCCTTAGAAGAGGGGGAGGTGCCAGCCGTCAGGGAAGAGTCCGTGGACTGTGAAGAGCTGATGGAAGAGATTAGGTGCGGATTTGAAGGTACCGTTGGGCGTTGACTACGCAATGCTCCGCGTCTACCATATGATATGCGTTCTTAGGAGTCCCCCAAAGGAATGATCGACGAGTCTGTTCGTCCCATCCAGAGTCCCAGAGCATCATTGGACTGTTGTCGGTAGAGAGGATTTAGTTTGCAGGAATGGATAGCGTTTCCAGATCTCTCGGGTCTGTTTGCTGCAGATCTGGGTCTGTTTACTGAAGATTGGTTGCCATTGTGGATTGCGATAACTGATCTCCATACGGCTGCTATCCTATATGTACTCATGTAGGCTGTGTCCTGTGATGTGATCGACAGCTTGTTAGTGTACGGCTAGCACAATCCTGTCCTTAAATAGTCAATCACGTATCGATGGATCAGATCTCAATGGATCAAATCAGCATTCGAACAATGGGAGCAACGTCACGAAATTACCCGTGAGTTTGTGAAATACGAATGTGAACCGAAATTACAATATGATCCGAAATTCGGACAGATGTCGCCAAAAACGACTCCTGTCCGACAGCGAAATCTGTCCGAAATCCCCAATTCGGCTGTCGGACAGATGTCGCTGTCGGACAGATGTCGCCCAATCAGGTTACTGTTAGGGTTAGTATAATAAATATATTTGTTTG